CCCAGCTAAAGCCAAAAATCTTCAAATGTCGGTAGGACTTTGGGGTCTAGGCCAATTCTAAACTCCTTTCATCTTCTTTCGGATCGACCTCTATACCCACACTTGAAATAACGTGGCCAAGAAAAGCAACCAATCTAAACCAAAATTTACATTTACTAAACATAGCAAAAAGTTGGTTATGATTGAGGACTTACAAAACCATCTTCAAATGGTTTATATGGTTATTCTCACTCTTAGAGTATATCAAGATGTCATCAATAAATACAATGATTAATGACTCAAGATAATCCCAAAACACCTGATTCATAAGATCCATAAAATCCACCGTGGCATTCGTTCAACCAAAAGACATGACTAAGAACTCATAGAGATATATCTTGTTCAAAATGTCATTTTTTGGAATATACACTCCTCTTACTCTAAGTTGGTTATACCTCGATCTCAAATAAATCTTTGAAAGTAACTCGCCCCTTGAAGTTAGTTAGACAAATCATCAATTCTAGGGAAGGGATACTTATTCTTGATAGTGACCTTGTTTAGTTATCAGTAGTCAATACACATTCTAATAGACCCATATTTCTTTTCACAAACAATATCGAGCGCCCCGTAAAGATATGCTTGGTTGTATAAAACCATTATTTAGAAAATCTTTTAGTTGAACTTTCAATTCTTTCAACAAGTCCAGAGCCATCCGTCAAGGAGAGATTGAAATAGGTTGAGTATCTAGTAATAAATATATGCCAAAATCTATTTCCCGTTCGGGAGGGTTTCCAAGCAAGTCATCAAGAAAGAATTCCGGGAAGTCCCTCACCACGGGGACCGACTCTAAAGGAAGAGCCTTGGATATAAGGTGCTTGACCCTAACAATATGATAGAGACATCCCTTATAAATCATCTTACAAGCTTTTAGACATGAAAAAATTTGACCTCTCATGATTGAGTTTCCCCCTTTCCACTCCAAAAAAGGTTCATTAGGAAATTGGAATTTAACTACCCTTGTTCTACAATCAATTGAGGCAAAACAAGCATTTAAACAACCCATACCTAATATGACATCAAATTCAAACATATCAAATTCTACCAAAACAACCAATATAAATATATTGGAAAATAATATGGGTTAACTCCTATAGACTCTTTTACAAACAACGGAGTCACCCACTGGGGTAGACACCAAAAAAGGTTCAACTAAGAAATCAAGGAGAACATCAAACTTTACTGCCACTAAAGGAGTTACAAAAGATAAAGTGGCACCGAGATCTAGCAATGCATAAATAATAATTGAAAATACTTGAAACATACTGGTAACAACTGGGAGAATCTTCTTGATCACCCCTAGATTTGAGAACATAGAAGTGGTTCTTCTTTAGAGAATCAAAATTAAGACCACTTGTTCATGCATGGTTACTCTCCCTTACTTGAGTCTTGTACACGCGACAATTTTTCACCATGTGTCCACTCTTTCCACAACCAAAGAAGCTATTCGTTCCCACTAAACATTTATTCATATGCCTCTTGCCACATTTGGCACAATTGGGTTTCTCACTTTGTGAACCACCACCTTTTCCCCATTGAGGCTTAGGGTTAGACACCCTATCCTTGTTAGACTTTTGGAAATTAGAAGGAACTTGGTTGGTGAATCTCTTCTTGAACTTTGGTTTGTCTTGGATTTCAAGCTTACCATTAGAAGTACCTCCGTCATAAGGCCTTGCCCTTTTGGCATCCTTATTTTTTCCCTTAAGCCTACTCTCCTCAACTTGTTGATCATGCACCATCAAACAATACAAATCTATGTTATTATGAAGCATTGCTTCATGACACTCTTCCACTAGATCATCGAACACACCCATCACAAAGCGACTCATTTTATCTCTCCGATTAGTCATCAAAGAAGAGGCATATTTAGACAACTTAATGAATTTCAAAGAGTATTCTTGAATACTCATACCTCCTTGACGAAGTTTGATGAAT